CACACACACACACACACAGAGAGAGAGAGAGAGAGAGAGAGAGAGAGAGAGAGAGAGAGAGAGAGAGAGAGAGAGAGTGAGAGAGAGAGAGAGAGAGAGAGAGAGGTGAAGTGAAGAACTAGGGAGAGTGTGCGAGATACTAGGAGACAGTGCTTACAGGAGGACTTTTCGGACACTAAGGCTAAAGGGCTCGTACCAGTTTTCGAGGAAGCGCGAGAGAATGAGAGAGCAGCAATACGGTACCGCGCGCAGAGAGAGAGAGAGAGAGAGAGATGGGCATAATTGGTTTGCGAGTAGAGTGATTGACAACCTTGTCAGTCAAGTAACGAGGGCCTGTCGGACTCGTAGGCAGGGTGGCGTCCAGGGTTCCTTGCTATGGAGATTGGCGGAATGAAGTACGGGTTGCGCGGAATTACGCGGTGGTTCTTGGGATCACACCTTCAGCTGGAGGAGGTTTAGAGTATGGTTGGCTATATGGCGTTGGCGTTGCTTGCCGTGGAATTAGGCGCTTTGGGTTCAGAGATGCCCCCACGTGTTCTTTTTCTTGCCTTCATTTTGTCCGTTGCTACATCTGCATACAAATATTGGGCTTTCCTAAGGTCGAGGTACTTCACAGGTTTGTCATGCGCTCGGCTTCGAGTTCCGCCCAGTCCTCCTCTCCGAGAAGTCGTTCAAGCTCGTGCGATGCCAGTTTTTTTTTTTTTTTTTTTTTTTTTGAGGGCTGCCAGCTTTAGGGGGTAGAGTGAGAGTAAAACTCGGTCTATGTGTGAGCCTTGGAATTTTGCGATATGTAACTTACGCGGCCGAAATTGAGTCTCTCGCCTATTTTCGCTCCTCAATAAGGAAGTACCATTCGTTTCCGGCGGCCAACGTGACGGAAGCGGACAGGGCAAAAGAGAGCATCAGTTTGTTTACTGGCTCATTGTCCTTGCCGTCGCAGTGCACCTCGCTTACTTATCTGTACTTTTCCTCTTACCTTTTGGACATGCTCTCGTTTCGAGACAACCAGAGGTAATCTTGCGACCCAACCCTTCTTTTTCCTCTTCTCCTGGTTTGCAATGTCGACAGGGAGGTTCATTTTGGGAGCGAATATGGAAGACGCAGAGAGAATTTCACCTGGGATTAGTTTACCAGCTCCACTACCGGGACCACCCCTCGTTCGGCAGCGACGACGCGAAAAATAACCCTGAGAGATGCGGCTTGCCAGCGTACTGGTTTCATGACGTGGATTCGCTGTTGAAGATGGTCAGGGCCAATTTGCCAACCCTGTCTGTCAAGGGCAGGGAGTCTAGCCCAGAGAATTCAGTGAGAGAGAGCCGAGGGCGGCTGAGAACGGCATTGGAGGCTATTCTGGAGCTATCAGAATCAACGAATAGGGATGTCCGGGATGAGATGGCGGACATCGTTCAGGATATACCCCAGGGGAGCCGGTTTTCCATAAATGTGGACGCCGTTCGAGACATCGCCAGATCGGGATGGTACCCCGTTCTGCTGAGCGTCCTCCAATGCACAACGAATCCCACAGGTGCAAAGGAGGTCCGACTCGCTGCAGCCATCCTGGCAGGACTCGCTTCGGGCCTTGCTGTGCTCCCTTGGCAGCCCTGGCGAGACGTGGGTGATGCTGATCAGCAGAGCACTCTTTTCAATCCCTTGGCAGGTGAACTGGTCGCGGAACTGGTCCATTTGGTGGACCGCTGTACCGGCCACCAGTGTACCAGGGCCAACACAGTAGGTGGCGAGGAGGCGAGAGAGCAAGAGGATGGGGACGGGGAAGGCGAGGCGGAGGAAGGGCAGGTCTGTCTCCAAGAAACGGCCCTTTCCGCGTTGTGCTCCTTCGGACAAGCTGCTAGCGAGATGCATGCGCACATCGCCTGGGTGGCCAAGGAGGCAGCTGTACCGAGTAGCAGATTTTGTAATGCTTTCTCCACTCTTGGGCCGGGGGATTGGCCGCTGGAGACGCCCATACCGAGCTTCGACCGACAGGAGGTCCGAGACTTCATTGCGAGTGTCGTGGCAGAGTTGAGCTGCCCCCGAACTGAGAGGTTTCTACTGGAGTTTTTGGAGGTCGGCAAGTTGAAGCAATCGTTCCAGAAGCTCGTGGCGGACTCCATCAGGATCCTAGCCTACCTGTTGTGCCCGAGGATGGTCTACTAACATCGGTTCGAAAAGAAGCTGCAGGATTTCCCCGCCCCGCTGTGCAAGATGGATGATCTCCCAGATCCATCCAGGGTAGAGGCTGCTCTGAAGGGGTTGATTCGTCACTGCTGCGAAAAGGCCAACGTAGCATGTCTCTCTGCTTTCTCCAAGCTGCACTTAGCCAAGATCTTCATCTGTCAGAATCTCAGAGACATGGATTGCGAAGTTGCAGAGATTCTGCTTCAATGTCTCAAGTACTGCCTTCAAGTGCGCGGCAGGAGAGAGATTGACTGGTTCACCCGTGAGGTATTGGACACCCTCCGCGACCTACTCGCCACCTCGTCACCCTCACAAAAGCCAAGCATCTGTGACACAATCGCCAGCCCTGCTAGCCGCGGTTGGGAATTGCTTGTCAAAATGCAAGATTTCGCAGGGGATCGGTTTGGTTTCTGGCATTGCAACGCGTCAGCAGTGGGACTCGCGGCACACGTACTCGAGAACTTGCCCGATACGGCCGATAGTGTGAACCTCATCGGTATCCTAAGGTGCGACGCGGTGCATTTCTGCCTGCTTCTGCTCAGCCGATTGCGAGTTGAACAAGGGACGTCAGAAGAGTCCTTTATGAGATGTTGGGCCGTTTTCCTCATATGGGTAATAGAACCAATCTCTGACCCTGCGTGGAGGCCATCTTGTACATTCAAAGAGATATTTCAAGCCAAGTGTTGCGAGGCTGATAGGGACGGGATGGAGGGATTAGAGGATTCCGTTCACACTCTTCTCCTAGTCCGGAATGTCACTCGCCTCCTCCGTCTGTGTCTTTGTCACAGCGAGAACTCCCAAGAGATCACACCCGAGGCAAACGATTTGCTGCTTATCCCTGTACGACTCCTGATTCTTCGATACCCCCTGGGCAGTTTCCGGCTGCCGACTCAGCTGGGATTAGACGAACTGTTCGCCCGTTGCGTGAGCGACATCAGGGCTAACAGTGCCGTAGTGGTTGGAAAATGGCTTCGCCTAGTCGTCCCTAGTCATTCCGTTGCGTTGAAGGGATTGCTGGAGAGTTATTGGGCCCGCCTGCTAGAGTGGCAACGGAAGAGTGAGGCAGAAGGTGGTCCGGATTCGACTTCAGACTTCGAGGGTCTAGTCCGAGTCATCGACCAATACTCGGGCCTTTTCCAGGGGCCGGTAGAAGGGGATTATTCACACATCATAGACTGCCCAGAAAACTTTGAGGTCAGCCCCGAGGAAGCAAGCTCTGCAACATCTCCTATGCTAATGCTCACGATGCGGCAACGTCATCAACCCGCACTGCTTATTGTCACGTGGTGCTTTGATACCACTTGGGGGGGGGGGGGGRGRGRGGGRGGGARGKTATGGTGGGGGCCGKGGRRGGKGKGGRRRGAAGGTTTTAGCAGGTGAAGGTTGGTGTGTGGTAAGGAGAGAAAGATGTTTCTTTTCTCTTTGAAGTTGTTCGCACCTCCAGCTCCGTTGTAAGTTCAGTGTGTTCTATCCTTGTTTTTGTCTTCGTTTTGTTCTCGTCATTCTTCGAGTGTTTATAGTCCGTCTTTAATCAGCATTCTTCGCGAGTCATTATATATACAATCGCATTAGGTATGATCACTTTTTGAAGGCATAGCCCCTCGCTCCATCGATAGCATCACTTTTTGAAGGCATAGCCCCTCGCTCCATTGATCGCATCACTTTTTGAAGGCATAGCCCCTCGCTCCATCGATCGCATCACTTTTTGAAGGCATAGCGAGTGAATATTTCCCCATTCTAGCTGAAGAAGGATGATCCACCAATTTGCTCTTTGTTGAGTAGGGAAGCAATGAATAGCTGTCGGCATCAGACTCCCGTCTCCTCTTTTCGTTATTGTTGGTCGTCATTCCGCTCTCTTCTGCTCTTTTCTTTTTGTTTCTTAAATTAAATTCCTTGCTACCTCCAAAAAAAAAAAACAAATGGTATCTTCTTTTCTGTTTCCCAACAACCCCTTATCTCAGTTTCTGAATCCGTGCAAAATTTGGTAAGTTGCGCGAGGAGGCACTTTCCCGCCTCCTGCTTGCTGCCAGCATACCCTCATCAGTCCAACCCTTCAGGCGTGCGAGAACGTGGCGGTTTCCCGCCGGGTACTGGCCGACCATAGATGCGCCAGGGCACACAAGCGCTTTCCCCCTCTTAGCGCTATGTTTCGACAGGCGTGCAGTCTTCCCCCGAATACAACGTACGGTGATTATAGCCGAATTTAGACTGAAAGATACACCAAATTCAGCTATAATGACCGTACGTTGTATTCGGGGGAAGACTGTAGGGTCTCGGCGGCGCAGTAGAAACCTCGTGTCCCCAGGGCTAACGAGCGGGAGGGGCGGTGTCTTCTAGCAGTTGGGCGGCCGTTTGATTCTGGCCTTAGCTCTTAAGGGTCGGGTATGTCCACTGGGTTTGGCAATGTGGTGGAGCAAGAGGGAGAAGAGGAGAGCTAGGGAGGGGCAAGGCTTCTATTTTGGCGCAGAGCCGAAGGCGCGAGATGTACAGAGTCGAGAAGTCGTCGGAATCTCATGCCACCGTTGGGCACCGGTGAAATTGCTCATCGCAGGGAACTCGTTGGAGGTGATGAGCACAGTAAAAGGTATTCACCGAATCTCGCTTGAATCACCCTAGGTCGAGCAGTGACCTTCCCTAGGTCTATTTTGTGTACATTTTCGTATGACATTGTGGGGTAATATTTTTTTTTTACCATATATAGCATAAAACTTCTCCTCCAATTTTGCGTTGCCGAGCTTGGCGATCCGTTATTATCCCTTGAGAAGTTGAGAGTATAACGATACCCATGCCTCCCATCACTTTAGGTATATCTTGATAGCTAGAGTAACTCCTTATTCTGTGTGACATAAGAGACTCCAAATTTGTTTTGAAATATTGTGGGGTAATTTTTATTTATTTATTTATTTATTTTTGTGGGGGCGGTAATTGTAAAAATAGGGTGTTTTCGAAGTTTCACAGCAGAAATGTGAAGGGGTCCGAAAGATCTATTTTGGCAAGGAACAAGGGACCCCCGCCTGCAAATAGTTTTGCTGTGAAACTACGGCCTGGACCTCGGAAGCTTCGACGAAAGATATAGTTTTGCAACCAAACTTGGAGCCAGCCAAAGTTGTTTGGGGTGAAGCTACCGCGACGCGCTATTTTTGAAACTTACCCGTAGTATGTGGATGGAATTATTAGGAGCAAAAGTGTTTATCGTCGACAAGGTGTTATCTTTTTCAAGTTTCACTTCCATATGATTTCGCAGGGCACTGTTATGATTTCCAACGTTTTATAAGCTCGTCTGTTTCTGTGAGTTTTGGCACGAACGATATCTCGGAATGCATAGTATGATTGGAACGATAGCTTGGAATGCTTAGACGCTAGTTGGGTGTTTGGAGGGAAGTTAGGGAGGGATCGCAGGCGCCCCTCTCTCTTCTGCTGGAAAGTTGCTTGGCGTATCTCCTGTTTGAGAGGCATAACTCCTGTTTTAGATTCGGAACTGCTGCCGCAGCGGCGCGGCCTATGGGTTTCCATATTATAATATGTGGGACGAGATCCCTATAGTACACCGCTGCAACGAGTGAGGCGAGCGTGACCGTGAAGCAATCTTAGCTTGCGCAAGAGCTTAACTATGTACCCAGTGAAGTTGGCACCCGCTCAAGCAAGGGAGCGCTGGAGGAACGAAGAAAGAGAGTAACAATAATGACCGTCTCCATCTATAAGAATTTGCGACCTGTTGAAAAACGCAATAAGGCATTCAGGGCGACAGAAGTGGCAAGCAGGGGACAAATTAGAGAAGTTCCGAAAAAAAAAAAGAAAAAAAAAAAGAGAAGTTCAAGAGATGAGCTGTAGATTATCTGGTAGCGGCGACGGGAAAGGCGGAGCTGTAGAGGGTAGAATAATTACGAGTGATAATATATGTGTGTGTGTGTGTGTGTGTGTGTGTGGGTGTGTGTGTGTGTGTGTGTGTGTGAGAGAGAGAGAGAGAGAGAGAGACAGCAGACTGCTTCAGTTGTGGTAAGTGTTTGCAGCTATCCGGGGAAGAACAGTGCCTGAGAGCTCTTGTGCAAACTGTGATGCGCCTGTTGCTTTCATGAGGAATTTTCGGGAGCATGAGCTGATCCCCTTGTGCTGTACGGGACGAGGACTCATGACTAATCTTGCTGCAAAGGGAATTTTTTTATTCTCGGTTTTTTGGGAAATTTTTCGAAATGCCCTCGGACGGCCTACTTACCCTGATTTACCCCTGGGACCTCAAAACTTCCCTGCCGGCCCCTGTCAGTGAGGGGCGCAACGTTTTGGGATGCCCTTACCGGAACCCCGGTGCCCTCATGACGGGCATACAAAATTCAATGCAAATTTCCATCATGCCCTTGCACGGGAAAATCGAATATGTGGTGGTGTTTTATTTTATTTTTTTAATAACAAAATCAAACATTCCTTTCAATTGGTATTGAGGCCGGGGACCTCACAATTCAACACGGTGGTTACTGACAGTATCAGCCAACTTAGCTTACAGGCTAGGCCTGCAGGAAGTCTGCTAAAAGACTTTCCCAAGTTCCTATGCACTAAACTGAAGATAGTGAGGATGAGTGGTACATCTATGCTGAACACCCCTCTGATCTCTGAATAGTCTCATTTCGAAAAGATACTCATTGATGAATAAAGTCGTTGAATGGTAACCCAGACTGAACAAACACCCTAGCTATCTAACACTAAGCTGTGACCAGGTGGGACTAAACCGGCCCACTGGACACCTAGCTACCCTACTCTCAAAACAATCACCTAGAGGTCTACCGCGACCTTATACAACCGAGTGCCCTGGTTGGACGAAGTGGTGGATGACTAATCTACAACGAAAACGCCTACAACTTAGACCTCAGGGGGGGTCGAACAGCCACTTGGAGTCTTGGACAGAACCAACCCTCTGGAT